AAACCCTCCGTTCGCACGCTCTTGAGGGCCAGTACCCACATCTTGTCGAACGGCAGCCCGGAAATTGCCAGGAGGTAGTCGCAGCCCGACTCCAGGAACGTTAGGACGAACAGATGGACCTTGTCGTTGTCCGTGGGAATCCAGGCCCTGAAGGTCGACGGCGGCCACGCGGACTCGATTCCATCCTGGAGTTCGCAGATACTGGCGAACACTCTGTTCATCCACAGGAACAGTGTGGAGGGCGCGACTTAGACTCGTCGAACGCCATATATAATTGGGTAGTATATGTCCAGTCAGATGGGATAGATCGTGGAAAAACCAGAAAGCAAGGAGGGAGAAAGTACAAAGAATGGTGTCTTACCTTGCGGAGTTCACACTCGAAGCATGTGTCTGCCGCAGCCCTGTCGGAGTTGTTCCGTGCCTCAGCGAATACGCCGCGGTAGAGGTCGGCCGAAAACTCGTTATAACGCCGCGCTCCGTCCCCCCGGTCCCGCTCCGGCCCCATAAGGACGTCCTCTACCGTAAGAGATCCCCGACCCTTTACCAACCACCAGTCGTCCATTCGACCTACGTCGGGCCCTACCGTTAAAGCCGTCGCAGCGATGAAGGGAAGATGAGGCCCCTCCCCCTGGCCAACTCCGACCCTTGGGTCAAAATCACAGTTGTCCAGGGGAATGGCGGCGCACTCGGCGTCTTGGCTCAGAAGGTCCTTGTCCTCTACGAACCTCGCGTGGTAATCTTCTCGGTGCTGAATTTGCGACGTCGTCGCCCACAAACCGTGCTCCGCTACAAAGTTGGTCACCTCGCGACACGTACCCTTAGACTTTGCCCACTGAGCCCCTTTGATGTCGTGCGAACCCATGTACCTACCACGCAAAATTGCCGTCACCACGACCGTACACATCACCAGAAGCCTACGATGCGTGGATCGCCTGTCACGGTTGAGGCTGTTGATATGCCTGGCCTGTTCCTCGGTTCGTGGCCCTAACGACACCGTCACTGCTGGTTGACTGACCTCGTTCTTCTTTTCTCCATCACCGTTCTCGCCCTCTAAGTCGCCCGAGGTGGTAGGATGCCGTCCGTCTCGCCCTTCGGTCTGCCATACCCAGGGCTCTCCAGGATGTTCGGTCTCTGATGCGATGATCTCGCGATACAGTGCCATGTCCGTCATGCTTTGGTACAACCCAACCAAGGACGGCGGAAACGTGGATAGTAGAGTCTCTCTGGGTGGCTTCACTTTCATGTCCAACTCATCGGCGTAGCGATACTTCTCGCGTGTGCCGGTGGTGTTCTTCAGGGCAGGGTCACTCTCCACGTCGGCTCGAACAATTCTACCAGCTGCCCGCACGACGGACATCCGTGCGTCTGCGTCCTCCGTGTCCTTCTCGACTTCCTTCAGAATCGACTCGAGAGACCCACCCTTATCAGCTAGCTGGTTGGATGGTGGCTGTGCGGGTGCACTACGTCGAGCACGCAGCATCAAGTCAACGAGATGCTTGTCCCCAAGGGTGTTTGGGACGAGGAAGAGTTCCCGCTCGCGTGCGTCTCCTTGGGCTCCGTCGGCTCGGACCAATCGTGATTTGCTCCCGGGGTCTGCGTCCATCCCGGTAAACAAGTTCAGGACGAGTTGTCGTGCGTACTTCCTCGTTATCTCCTCCATGCCAACCTTCGCGCGTTCAGCAGCTAGCCAACCGGCGACGTCCTGCCAGCAAAGGATCTCACCTCGACCGAGGACGTCATCCACCATCCTGCGCACCGTGCTCAAAGGCTCTACAAGCGTCGGTGCCTCGTCCTCCGATCCACATGACCTGTTCGCTGGTTGCTCTGTCGGTTTGTCGTCTCTCTTCATGCCGTTCAACCGACTGTGGTAGCAACAGCCGCACCACCAATCACCATCACTCACTATCGCAGTACCCTCCGCGACATGATCTCCTGCAGCATCCATGGGATACCACCTTACGCGGCTCCTGTCCGATTTCCGGTACTTGCATTTACTGCATTGGCGAAACTCTGCCTTCCTTTCTTTCTTGGCGAAAATAGCTAGGAAGCAGTCTGGGCGCTGGCAGAGGCAGTCCTTGCTAGGACTAAAGTCTCGCACGAGAGCTAGAGGCAGGGGTTTCTCTCCTTGTCTCAACGCGGCTACGAAGATTACAGCTCGCCCTAACCGGTCCGCGCGGAGGTGCGTGAAACCTTCGTCGTCCGGAAACCTGTGGCATGCCGAACATAGTCTCTCGTCGGCCGAGTGCACTACACTCCCGGGGCATGTGCTACACTCGGTGCCAGGGTAGTGTGTAACCCAACCGCATTCCTGACGGCCGCACGCCTTTTTTCGCTTCTTGCCTGTTGGTTGGCTTACAGGTAGCACCGCCGGGGCAGATGACTGGATTGTCTTGGGTTCCCGCCGTGGCTCCTACGCCGAGTATCAACGGGGTGATTCCCCCCCGCCTGATCGTCGCCGTTCGTCTTCGGCAATCGCGCGATCTCTACGAGCCGTGGCCTCCCTCCTGGCCTCGCTCTGCTGCTTGTAGTAATCCTCCTCCTCGAGCTTGATCTTGAGGTTGGGTAGGCACCCACCCGTGACACTAGCAGAGGGCCTCCTCTTCCTCCTTCGTTTCCTGCCGGACCGGGTCTTTCCTCCCGTTCGACGGACACGTGCACCGGAATCTCCCGCGTCGCGCTTTGTCGCGGCGATGGGGGTGTGCGCCTCGGTGGTTAGGTTACCCTGTCTCCTGCTCCCGCTCTGTGGACGTTCACTTGTGGAGTCTCCTCCTGTGTCGTCGACCACTGGCTGACGCGGGGCTAGCGCGCCTTCCGTGAGCTGTCGAAGGGTTAGTATCGGCTGCATACCCCCGCTTCCGGGTGTAGAAGGGCTCCCAGACTGGTTCCGAGGCATCGCCGGTGGCGTACCCGGTAGAGCTGTGGGGCTGTTCACCCCACAAGCCTGTTGGCCCACCCTACGTCTCTGACGATTCATCTGGCAGCAGCTCGACCTATGCCGGCCGTTTGTCCATGCATTCGAAACCTGACCAGAGTTACAAAACAACATGTTTCTCTTGAACGTACAGCTAAGCCAGGCGCACGCTTATTCGTGGGGTGGGATCTTCGGTGCCTCTTCTAACCCATGCATAAGATCTGATCCTCTTTACGGGCGCGCCTATGCACCTGAGAACGCCAGGGACTGAAACCTGTTCAAATACGTAGTTTATATACCTGACCCTGTGATGCTGCGGCGTTTAAATACCTCTGCACGGACTGGAGCGTCTGCAGCTAAGCGCCCCGAGTCATGTTCGGCTCGTATATTGGCAAAGCACCGAGTGTAATAATTGAACTCGAAGAAATCGTACTTGCCCTCTTGAAGCCCAGTTTGTCTTAAACTCGTAGTGATTGGCTGACACTGAGCTGGAATTACTGCATCGAGCATTTCCATCGTATCTTGGGTGTGAATGGTGTATGCAATGGATGGATGTACATGCGCAACGTGAACGACGCAAGGCGTGGACTCTCCTGAAATTTAAACTTTTGACACACCATGCTTATCCCCTGCCGCACTAAATCGCCTCAAACCTTTTACATTAGGTGGCAACACAACCTAGGTATATGGCGGCAGCATAGTTAGGCTGCAATACAACTACCTCGCGCAGAGGTCGGGTCGCGTGTGAAGCTCGCTCCCTGATTTTGGAGCTGCTGCATGGTGGTACGCTCTAGCTAAAGTCCAACTTTTTCACCCTACCGTGCGCAACTGGACATATAAAACATACCCTGGCGTGCCCTGGCATCTTATTTACATACCTCTTTTGCAATCTGGACAGTTGATGCTCTCGTTCGCCCTCAAGAGCCGGTGCTAGGTGTGGAGGTCTGTTGCCAAGCGAGCCGCCTGATCAAAGAAGGGGTTTCCACAAGGGGCTGCTTTCCCGTTGGAAGCGTGATTCAGCGTACTTACTTTTTTTTTTTTCAGTCGTGCAGCACTGCTGTTCTCGGCCACGACATAATAACGTCCCAATAAGAAACATGATCGTGCGATATCCCGGGACAACAGAAACAACGGATAGCTGAGGAAGTGTGTCCAACAAGAACCTTCCCATGGTGCTGCCCAACCACCACTACCTATGCTAGCTCATCATGTAGTTGGTAGGGGGGGAGGTCAGAGTGGTTATTTCGGGTCGCCCCCCGGCCCTCCGGGCCGCCGCGGGCTGCGGCACCCAAAGCTGTTGTACTGCTGTACTGCCACAAATCACGGGAGTCAGGAAGTGTAGGAGAGTGACAATCCCAATCAACGATCGCCACCACCGAGGTGTCGATTGAAAATTCTGCATGATAAGGCTGTGTTGTTGGTTTCTTCGCCAGAAACAAGAAGTAAGCAGTATAAGAGCAGCAGAACGATGCGACAGCCCCAAGGAATCAAGAAATCCGTTGGCCGACTTCGGCTGGACATTCCGGCGAAAATAAGAAACTGAGGCTCGACCCGATTTTGGTGTTTCTTATCTCCGGGCCCGTTCTGTAAGCGCAATACAAGTACTTACGCGAATCATGTCATGCACGAGAGCGCACCGGGTGCAAGAAGGTTGAGTCATCTTGTCTCGATGTTTCTCATGAAGGGTTACGACTACGGCCAAGCACACAAAATAAGCAGCATCTTTTGGTTGTTGGTCTATGTATCCTTCAGGAAAAATCCCGATCCTGTCCGCCTAGCAACCAGCCGCCCCAACGGGAAAAAATGCTGCCGCAAAAAAATGGATTCGCGTCGCAGAACCTGAATCATGCGCTAGATTGAAGTAGCAAGAGAAACAAATGGACAATCATAATCACCCGTCGCATTGCTGTCCTCATTCCAGCAGGTTCCGTACGCGAGTGAGTGCGAAACAAAAGTTCTTCATTTCGACCAAAACTGCTCGGTCAACGAAAGGCCCGCTCCTTGTCACTCCCTGTGACGAGTAGCGCATTGTTTGGACGCATGTCTCAGTCGTGCATCACGCTCAGCGAGGTGAGCGACCCCGACCTGCAGTCCGCCACATGCCTTCAACGCGGCGAAAAAAAGGAGGGAGCAGGAGGTGTCTGCAGCACCACAAAGAGTCATACATCGCCGGAGCTTACAGAACAATTCAAAGACAGACCTGATAGGCATACTTGAGGGCCCCGCCCGAGCAACTACGCTCTACGAAAGATGAGCCGCCCAACAGGGGCGGCGGATGTCCCCCCCAACCCCCAACCCCCGTATCCCGTACGGTGTCAAACACCAGGAATAACCGACCTCAATGTTGTGCTAAGCACAAGGCAATGAATGCACCACGGTTTTTCCGCAAAGGATCCTCTGGCCAAACCTCGCTCACGCAGGACACCACACAATGAATCCCACGTTCTCTTGTGAAACGATTTTCGGGGGTATCGATTTTCTTGCGTCGGTCCGGCCCAACTTTCCTTCTAAGAGAGTGACAAAACTGCTACCTACACGTCTCCGATGGAACCAAGGTACGGAGAGCAACTGCTGCTATTGTTCCTCCCTCGCTGCCCCGGGCACCGTGTGACGTCATAGTTTAGACGACGGAGATGACGAAAAGACCTAGATCTTCTTCTGCTTCACCACCCGGAAAAGGATGTTATCGAGGACGCCGACCACGGTGAAGGTGCCCCCCACGATGGCCAGCACCGATGTCAAGAAGTCGTACCACTTGCGACGCCGCTGCTTGATGTATACGCTCATGGGGCTCAGGTCGTAGCTAAACTTCGCCTCCGGCACCTGAGCTCGCCCCCCCCCCCCCCCCCCCCCCCCCCCC